TGTGTGTTTGTTCATTAAAATTAAAATAAGAACCTGGTCTTTTAGTGGCAATGGGTAAGACGTTGTCCCCAGGCTTTCTAGGGTTGGCTACAAAGTCAGACCAAATCGTCATTAACAACAAAGTCCTGTTCCAACGGACAAAGAACTTTTTACTCATTTCAGGCCCAGTAGGCAGATAAAAAGATTTGAAGGCAGTTTGATAGCTGATTAGTAGTAAGTTTGTCCATGACGTTTGTTAGTAATAAATACAAGAAATATTTCTTCTCATTGATTGATTGATTGACTGATCGGCTATCATATTATTCACCAGGGTTACTGCAACGATATCCATAGTTAGAGCCTCGTTACTCAGCTATTTTCAAGACATAATTCTACTTATTTGTTTATTTTTAGTGTTGCTGAAACGCCCTTTTATTTCCATTTCCTCTTGTCCGTGTGCATTCGTGCGCCTTTTTTTGAGGCGTTTGTGGAGAGCAACCCAAGAGAGAACCGCCACCACCACGGGAAAAAAAAAAAAACCCAACCCTAAGACTTAATGTATGCACAGAAAATTGTAAACATGTAAAGAACTGAAAGCTTCACGCTGAGTTTCGCCATGCTCCATTTCCCCACCATTTCCTGCTGTCGTTTTAAAGCGATCTCACTCATCTAGAGATCCCGTTTGCAGGAACAGTATGCTTATAATTACTAACAAATCAAGCGGCTACTGTTGCTCTCCTGGTTTATTGATAAGCTGAAGAGAAATGGAAGGGGGAGAAATGACAAAGAGGCGGGAAGTAACCACAGGAAGAGAAAGAGAGAAAGAAAGGGGTAGAAAAGGAGAAAGAAGTCGAGAAAAAAGAGGGAGAAAGGGGAGAGGGAGAGAGAAGTAAGGAAAGAGAAGGCAGAGATTTTGGAAAGGGGAATTCTGTATTTGTGAATGCTCACATACGCACAGCAAATCGAGTTTGGGAGTGAAAGAAAACCGAATAGTTTCTGCTGGGGATAACGAGAACTAAATGGGATAAAGTTAAAGCAGAAGTGGCGGGGACGCTGCGTCTACCCGTGTGTGTTATTCTGTATTGTCTCAGCAGTTATGGCAATCCCTAACCGACGGGGAAAGTTGACATCGACTAAAAGTATACTGTGCCTTACAGTTTCTTTACATACACGCAGGGATTTGACACGTGCAGCTGCACACACGGACGTGTATATCTCTTCACCCACTAAAACCTCCACGTTATATTATCTCTGGTAACGCCTGGGCTGTATCTGGAAAGCTATAGCCATGATAAACATATAGATATGATATAGATAGAGATAATTCATTCCATGGCAAACACTTTTTTGAGGCAGCATTAGGTAATTTACAGAAGATATAGAGTCTAGATAGAATACATCTCTCTGAAGCTATGAAATTGCAATAGATATGCTTACACCGCCTGGCAAGCCTCTAAAATGGGTTTAGAGTTATTAGACTCCAACTGATGGGTATGTTCATACGGTCCTTTTCGGGGAGGCACTGGTAGGAACAAAAGCTGAGGAGCGCTCAGCATAGCTGGGAAGGGAGCCAGCCTGCTTCCCAAAAGCAATTTGCAAGGAAAAAAACACCGAGCACGTGAAAATCCGCATTTGAAAGGTTAACTAATGTAATGAGTGCTCCAAAAGGCCAAAGCGAGCGGGGTGAGGTACATTTAAGCATTGCACGGGTCCCTCTCTCTTTAGTGAGTTTGGACTAAGATCAGATGGTCGTGGAATTGCTGCCTCTTGTTTAATTTCTCAGTTCACTGGACAGTGACCTGATAAACTGGCCACTAAATATAGCCACTGTAAAGGTGTACTCGACCCACTGAGCCCATGTGTTTGACCGAAGAAAAAAACGCCAGTCATGAAAATCTGTCTGGTGGCACTGTTTTAATCTAAGTCTTTTTTTTTTTTTTAACTTTTTCTTGATGCTTCACTCGAATGACGTTGCAGAACGTCGTGCATTAAATAAGTGATGTATTTATGTATAATGGGAGAAGAGAGAGAGAGACTTTTTTTTTTGTCTGCCAGTGCTACCTCTGACACCCCAAACGAGTCCCTTCCTATAGAATCAATGGCAAAAATCCTATTAATAGCAAGGAAAGCAGAGGCGGGCCTCTAACTCTTTTATAACTGTTTCTCTGCCATTCTCAAACTATTTGAAACCGCCTTTATGAGCTGCATAAAGTGCCTAACTAAAAATAATAGAGAAATAGGAATCCATTTCACTTTCCGATTCCCTGGAGTAAAGCCACTCAAAATAATTTGTTTATACTGGAGACTATATACGAGGCATATGAAGCAATATGTATATCTAAAATTGACATGCCTTTTGGTTTTTAGCTGTTATAGAGCTTTTATTGTGGGGGTCTGGTCTGGCAGTAGGAAATGATCTGTAATAAAAACAGTGAAACACGGTTGTGTCTATTCCATACACTGAGGTTATAAAATTGGCAATTGCCCAGTAGTTAGCACTTGGTAATATATTAGGATACCCGATCTTATTGTTTAGCAGCTCCAGACGACTTAAATATCCCCTCAACCCTAATGGTTTGATTCTCCAGATATGTTGCAAATAAACAGGGTTTTTATGACTTAACTGACATGTATTATAACTACTAAATAGCTGGCATATGTGCAGAATAGAACCCTATTATTTGCCGAATTGGTTTTGCAATTGATTGAGTGGAAATGGGAGACTGTGAAGCAGTATCTGCTCGACGAGGGTGTGTAATCAATTAGTCTTCTCCTCTGAAACATGCCCGGACCCTAC